CTTATATTATGGCTCATAAAAGATCAATAAGCTAATGCAGCTTTAGAAGCACAATACAAATCATGACGGTACTCACAAGCGAGCTGGAGGTCGATCAGTCGATGCAGCCCTATTTGCTAAAAAACTCACTGAGATCTACAGTACTCCTACTCCTAATGCGATGGCGAAAGCCGAAAAGATTGTATTGATTGAGTGTTCGTCCCCCTGTACAATAACCAGGGTCTAATATTTATACCTGGAACCTAAATATGAATCCTACTCAAATATGACTCATTACAATTCTTGGAATAAAAGAAAACTTCCCAACTTAATAATAACTTGGACCCTAATTTCACTTATTTGTAGAGTCCGACACATCTTCCTAGCACCATTCAAGCATAGCCCATTGACGCCGTCTGCTGACGTCATCTATAAAATAGCCGATTCTGACATCGCATCTAAATGAGCTGATACCGATTCACATCTAATCGATTTCTTGATGACACAATCCTAGAAGCTTCAAGTTCCCACATTCTTCTCCCCAAATTTTGGTGTAAACATTAACATCATCAGCAGTAATGCAACAACAACAGCCACAACAACAAAGCCTTTAAGTCCCAAACAAGTTAGGGTAGGCTAGAGTTGAAACCCAGTAGAAGCAATCTAAGGTTCAGGCACATGAATAGCTATTTTTCAAGTACTCCTATCTAAGGCTAAGTCTTTGGGTATATTCCATCCTTTCAAGTCTCCTTTTATTGCCTCTACCCAAGTCAACTTCGGTCTTCCTCTGCCTCTCTTCAGGTTACTATCCTGGCTTAGGATTCCACTACGCACCAGTGCCTCTAGAGGTCTCCATTGGACATGTCCAAACTATCTCAACCGGTGTTGGATAAGTTTTTCTTCAATTGGTGCTACCCCTAATCTATCACGTATATCATCGTTCCAAACTCGATCCCTTCTTGTATGACCGCAAATCCAACGCAACATACGCATTTCCGCAACACTTATCTGTTGAACATGTCGTCTTTTCGTAGGCCAACATTTTGCACCATACAACATAGCAGGTCTAATCGCCGTCCTATAAAACTTGCCTTTTAGCTTATGTGGTACCCTTTTGTCACATAGGACACCAGATGCTTGGCGCCACTTCATCCACCCTACTTTGATTCTATGGCTAACATCTTCATCAATATCCCCGTCTCTCTGTAGCATTGATCCTAAATATCGAAAGGTATCCTTCCTAGGCACTACTTGACCTTCTAAACTAATATCTTCCTCCTCCCGAGTAGTAGTGCTGAAATCACATCTCATATACTCAGTTTTAGTTCTACTGAGTCTAAAACCTTTGGACTCCAAAGTCTCCCGCCATAACTCCAGTTTCTGATTCACTCCTGTCCGACTTTCATCAACTAGCACTACATCGTCCGTGAAAAGCATACACCAAGGGATGCCCCCTTGTATGTCCCTTGTGACCTCATCCATCACTAAGGCAAACAAATAAGGGCTCAAAGCTGACCCTTGATGTAGTCCTATCCTAATCGGGAAGTCATCTGTATCTCCATCACTTGTTCGAACACTAGTCACAACATTATTGTACATGTCCTTAATGAGCCCGACGTACTTCGTTTGGACTTTATGTTTATCCAAAGCCCACCACATAATATTCCTTAGTATTTTATCATAAGCCTTCTCCAAGTCAATAAAAACCATGTGTAGGTCCTTCTTCTTCTCCCTATACCACTCCATAACTTGTTTTATTAAGAAAATGGCTTCCATGGTTGACCTTCCGGGCATGAAACCAAATTGGTTCATAGAGACCCGTGTTATTGCTCTCAAGTGATGCTCGATAACTCTCTCCCATAGCTTCATAGTATGGCTCATCAACTTAATTCTCCGGTAATTAGTACAACTTTGAATATTCCCTTTATTTTTGTAGATCGGTACCAATATACTTCTCCTTCACTCGTCAGGCATCTTGTTCGATCGAAAAATATGGTTGAACAGCTTGGTTAGCCATACTATAGCTATGTCCCCGAGGCATCTCCACACCTCGATTAGGATATCATCCGATCCTATCGCCTTACCTCCTTTCATCCTTTTCAATGCCTCTCTGACCTTATATTTTTGGATTCTCCACACAAAGCGCCTATTGGTGTCATCAAAAGAGTTATCCAACTGAAAGATTGTGTCCGTATTCTCACCATTGAATAATTTGTCAAAATACTCTTGCCATCGATGTCGAATCTCATCCTCCTTCACCAAGAGATGCTCCCTTTCATCCTTAATACACTTCACTTGGTTGAAGTCCCTTGTCTTTCTCTCACGAACCCTAGCAAAAAAGCCCATGCTTTTCTGTTCTATCTTTTTTTAGATAAAGGAAACAAATCCGGCTTTATCTCTTGAGATCAAGAGAATCAGACCAAATTTTCTGTTGTACCTAGAAATTCTTCTTTCAAAAGTCAGCACGTGCGACACCATCGTACACACTATGATTTCTTTCAAGCAACACCTTTGTTCTTGCAAGCAATAACATTCTATTCATTTGTGCTGCTATATCTTTTTTCTTTCCTCAAGGGCACAGAAAGATCACGAATTCCTCCCTAAGAAGTTGCTTCAGAAATATATTGTGAATCTGTGCATCTCAGTAATTACTACGTGGACCTACAGTTTCATGTTGCCTGGAAATCTGGAGTTTTGACTATCTCGCTGGAGGAGAAAGGACGTGCTTCCTTTCTCATTCAGCTAAAAGGAAGGTTAGGTTATTAGTATCTTATATAATTTGTACAAAATGGTCGAGTGGTTCTATAACCATTGAGGTGCTTACCTAAAACTTGTATAAGATTGTTGTTCTAGGCCTCGTCCTTTGAACACCAGGTGGTCCCTGAGCTAGTGGCGGATCTACACTACTATAAAATCGTCCTTCACCGCCAGCCCATCATCGCCAGTTTCTCTGAAACCAAGAAACTGGCAGTGATAAGTCTTCACTGCCGGTTGTTAGATTGAAAATCAGAAAATGATTTGGGGCCCTCAAAACCAACAGTGAAGGTCCATATTACGGTCAAAAAAATAGTGAAGGTCCATATCACTACCGGTTGGTGGCTAGAACCGGCAATGATAGTCACTGCCGGTTCATGGCTTGAACCAACGTGCTAATTAATGTGCTATTACTACCGGCTTTTGGCTTGAACCGGCAGTGGTGTTGTGCATAATACAAAGCCAATGTCCTCCTCCCTCATTCCTCCCATCCTGAGCACACTCGGCCAAGGAGGAGTCTTTCCCCACCTTTCCCTCCAATGTTGTGGCCATTCTTCACCAAAATGCTCAATGAAGGTCTTTTATCTTCAAGCATGGGGCATGTTTTTCTTGCTTTAAGGTTAGTAATAAGCAACCACCTCTTTGAATTTGTAGCTTTACATTTTTTTATGGTTAGATTGCTTGATTCTCACTCTAGTAATTTCTCCATTTAGGAGCACTTTTCAATTGGATCTTGAGGAAGGCAATCAAATTGTGGTGAATCCATATTCCATAAGGTTGGTGTCTATGAACCCACTATAATTCCAAGCAAATTACATGGTGGTTTTGATGATTGTGTACATGTGATGCTTTGATGAGCAAACCCATTGTTCTGTATGGAGTAGAGTAGATTTTTTTCAATAGGGCTATTAATTTCAATTTTGATGAGCAAACCCCTTGTTTGGAGCTACAATTGTTGTTCATGATTAAGTCTCAATTTTTTTGTATAGTTTTCCCATTTTTATGTGGCATGACAAAGTGTACAACAATTGTTCTTCAAAAGGGGGCGACCAATTTCATTTTTGATGAGCATATCCATGTGACACGTAGCAACCCATTGTTTTGAGCTACAATTATTGTTCATTATTTTGGTCTCTAATTTTTATTTTTGTATAATTGCTCTCCTCATTTTTATGTGGCATGAAGTAGAAAAAATTTTATGTGTAGAGATGGATCGAGGGTGGATGTACAGTTTGGCATCTACGGACTTGCGGTACTTGATGGGCATCAACACCTTCATCACGGTCACCGTAGCCAATGCTGGGTTGGAAAACTTGTATTCTACCCATGCAGAGATTGCAATAATGTCAAGAAATGGGTTAACGTGAAGCAGATATGATGTCACTTGATTACCATGCTTCCGCCTTGTTCACTTGATTACCCCGATATGATCCCACTTGATTACCATGCCTTGTTCATGAGAGACTACACGTTATGGACCAATCATGGGGAGGTTGGTGAGAATGTTCTGCAAGAAAACAATGATGATATGACCATCATGCCTGACGTTGCCCCCCACAAGGTTGTTACAAACGAGGAACCGGGTATCAATACGCAACCAGTGGCTACCGATGATGACGTATTTAGGAATACGTTAGCTGATGACACCGAGCATGAAAATGGCATTTCTCAGCTGCTACGTGATATAGAGGGTGGATTCCTTAGTGCTACACAGTTGAAAAAGCTAGAGATAGTGAGAAAGGATGACAAAACACCATTGTATCGGGGTTGTCTAGTGAGCAAACTGGAAGCCGACGTCATGCTATTAGAGTTCAAATCTAGACACGGATTGAGCGGTAAAGCCGACGTCATTTCGCTCGATATCTACTAGCAAATTCATCTACATCCAAACAACTGATTTAGTATTGCAACACATTTCCAATGCTAGTATGATTTAATATTGGTTTCCAATTCAATTCTAGCATCTCAATATCTACATCCAAACGAACTCTTAATAAAATCGGATAGGACATTTATGCTCTAGAGAGTGGAGGGACACATAGATACAAGGTGAGTGAGATGGACCAAATTTGGAGGAATATTAGAGTCATGTACTCACTTGACAGTTTAGGCACAGAAAAGAAAAACAAAATACTTGCCTTACAAAAACATTTAATCATTAATAACTAGTATCTCTGCACCTTATCTCCAGGTTGTATTAATGACAGGGTGATGAGGTTATACTGTACAGCTCCTACCTGACCTGCAACATGATAGCACCTTTTTCATCAACAAGCCATATTCACGGTATTCCTCATTGAGTAACGCACAAACAGAGCCACGTTCAGTAAGCTAAGAGTGGCCATCATCCAGAAGAAATAGTCCAGGTGGCCTTCGTTCAGGTTATCTGGAATCCACCCAGGCGCCCCGGCGCGTGTTGTGGCCACTGCGACAATGCTGAGCAAGAGTGAGTTCATGTAGGACGCGGACGCTAGTGCCAGCTGCCCGAGCGCCGCGCACAGGCTCTTCATGGTCTCGGGGGACTGGTCGTAGAAAAACTCGGTCGCGCCGACGCCGGCAAAAACCTGGGCTGCACCGTGGACGACATAGAGGGGCGCCTGCCACAGGATGCTCATTGGCACAGGCGCATCCTGATTTCTCAGGCCGCTGGCCTCCGCGACCGCTAGCCTCCTCGTCTCGAGCAGCGCTGCGTACACCATGGTGAGCGTGGACAGCGCTAGGCCGATCCCGAGGCGCTGTGCTTGGGAGAAGCCCTTTTCCTTGCCAGTGAAGCGTCGCGCGAGTGGCACCAGTGCGATTTCGTAGACGGGGACCCAGACCAGGCAACTGATCACTCCGATGGTGGACATGGACGCAGGTGGGATGGTGAAGGAGCCAACACGGTTGTCCATGAACATGCCCTGCTCAACCAACGTCGATGGCATCTGCGCATCGACCGTGTAGACGATGACGAAAGATGCCCAGATGGGTGACATCCGCAGCAGCATCTTCAGCTCCTCAACCTGTGTCACTGTGCAGAGCCTCCATGAGCACAGTGGCACCGTGGATTCGCTGTCCGATGGAGCTGATACAATAGCAGCCTTGTCGAAGAACCTGGAGAACACATATTTTTATAACAGGGAACCATAGCTTTGTTTCAAGTTTATATTTTCCAGGCGACATGTTCCTACAATTGTTTCCTACTGATGTTCTTGAAACAAACTTCATGATTTGCATTGTACTTGTAGGGGTAATGGTTCAAAACAAAACAATATTGACTTATAATTAGAATAAAATTTCGGTAGTTCACTACTGGTTGGGTTAACTTATATGTGTCCCTTATGTTATGAATACTGTCGATGTTTTACCACCGATAGCCTGCCACGGGGGTCCCCAGGGCAGTATGTTCGGGCTTCAGCATATGCGGAACTCGACGGTGAACGTAAGAGACAGTCGATTTATCCTGGTTCGGACCCTCGACCGTGGTTGAGTAATAGCCCTACGTCCAGTCGGTGTTAGTCTTGCGTTGGATTGATTGTGTGTTGTTGTGTCAAAAGTCCTCCTTCCGCTAGGAACCCCGCCCTCCTTTATACAGTCAGGAGGTCAGAGTCCTAGTCGGTTTACAATGAGAGTTTCTAGTAGGATTACAGAATAATACTACTACTAGGATTACATGAAAGGAAACCTAGTTAGACTAGATCTTCTCTCTTTCTTGCGGGGTATCCCGTGGGTCCCGCATCGACAAATACCAATATATTCCAATACCAAAATGGCTAGATATAGAGACATACTCCCTCCATCCGAAAATAGATGACGCTTTTGACTTTTAGATATTATGTTTGACCATTTTTCTTATTCATCTTTTTTTTGTAAATAATAAAATAAATAAGTCATTATTAAAGTATCTCTAATGATAAAATAAGTCATAATAAAATAAATAATATTTATACAAAAAAATTGAATAAGTGGAACAGTCAAACAAGATGTTTAAAAATCAAAATGTCATGTATTTTGAGACGAAAGGAGTACAAATTAAAGTGCAGAAACATCACGTACTAGTGTCTAAATGCATACACAATATATACACCTAACAACCCCCTGCCACCCCTCAAACTCATGGTGGTAATGGTGGTTCAGTAAGATTGAGTTTGGAGAGAAAAAGGACATGTTACACCCTTGGTGAAAAAAAATCCGTGAACCTCAGAAGGCACATGGCCTAGAGTGGCAATATGATAATGTAATAGTTATCTTATATAACAAGAGTCAACTCCAATATGATTGGTAAGTTCGTGTTCACAGTGTCCCTAACAATACTAATCGCATTAGTGCTATCAAAGGAAACATGAGTCAGTGTAGTAACAGGCACAGGAAAATCCTCAAGCAGCCACCATAGCCAGGTGTTCTCCATAGTCACAACTGCCATAGCCTGCAACTCAGCCTCAATACTCGAACACGAAACTACAAATAATAAGCCAAGAAAAACACAATATGCTAAGAGAGACCGATGATTAGAATGATCACTTGCCCAAGTAGCATCAGAGTAAACCCGAAGTTGGAGAGAGCTAGAGCAAGGAAAGAAAGAGACGATGAGAAATGGTTCTACAAAGGTATCGTAGAATACAAAGACGGTGGGCGTAGTGGACCTGAGTAGGAGAAGAAATAAACTAACTCAGCATGTGGCCACAAGATTTCCGACAAGGTAATAATAGCGAATGGGATAATCGAAGGGCACACCATCACTAGGTACAAGTGAACACCAAGCCCCAAATGCGGAGTAGTTAGTGATCACACGAGGTGGACAACTGGCATAGGATCAACTGGAGGCGGGGAAGCAACTAAAAGTGGGTGGAGTAAAAGGAAGAGGAAGAGGTGTAGACGGTAGGGAAAGAGAAGAAGGTGTTAGGGAAAAAGAAAAATCAGGCAGAGTAAGGAACGAGAGGGACACAAGGGTGCTATATGAGCTGGTGGAGGAATGATTATAATAACAATGGGATTCATCAAAAGTGACATGGAGAAATCCTCATCTGATAGCAATAGGATCATAGCAACTATATAAACCTTATCTTTTGTGTTGTACCCAAGAAAGACACTCAACTGATTGAGTGGTCAGCTTGGTGCACTCACGATGTGGAAGAAGAGCATAGCACACACAACTAAAACAATGGATATGGATACAAGAAAGGGGATCATCAAAAAGATGCTGGTAGGGAGTAGACCCTTCAAGAGAAGAGGATGGTTGCCACTTAATGAAGCAAAATAGCCAGAGACATTCTCGACCCAGAATTGAGGAGCGAGACTAGCAGAAATGGGAAGGGCACGAGCTGTCTCCATAATGTCACGATGCTTACACTTAGTGACACCATTTGGAGCATGAGCACCAGGATAGGACGACTAAGGAAGAGTACAGTAGTTAGCGACATAACACAAATGCACATTAGAAATGTATTCACCAGTAGAGTCAGTAGAAAAAAACACGAATGGGAGAATCAAATTAAGTGCATAGCATACTGACAAACTACCGTTGAATTGAAAGAAACTGACACAAGAAGACATATTATAAATCCCTAATGAATCTCAAATAATCATCAATAAAGATAACATAATACGAGTGCCCCCTATGGAAGTGAAGGGAGCATGACCCCATACATTAGAATGGACAAGATCAAAAGGGCCTTAGGACACAGAATCACTGGAAGGTTTAGGGAATTGTAGTTGTTTACCAGTCTTGCGGCCTATACAATGTAGAGTAGTATCAATAGAAAAAAGAACTAAGTCACCGCTACGAACTAAAGTCAACAGTCTAGAGCTAGAGAGATGACCTAGACAATGATGCCACTACAAAAAAGTAGTGGTATGCGATGCAATTGATGCAAAGCTACGTAGGAGAACTAGATGGCCTGATAGGCAAAGTGGACAAAAGAACACACAACCAGTCAACCTCTAAAAGACTAAGAAAAAGTCAGCCACACAAATGACAGGATATAACGTGGTTAGTGATCTAACAAGAAGACACCAATTGCAAAGTAAGCTTAAGAATATGCGAAATAAAGGAACATGAAAAGATGAAGCAGAAAGAATGTCACATCCACTCATCCAACATTAGGAAGAGATGTCCCATCATCAGTCTAAATAATGAAAGAAGGGTTAAGGTGACACTGAGGACAAATGAGTCAACTCATAAGTCATATGAAAAGGTGCACCAGAATCATAAAACCACTTGTGTGATATTACCTAGATGACGAGTAAGAGTGGAACCAGAAGCCTGAGTAGTGGCCTCATGCGTTGATGTCTTCGCTGGGTAGTAATAGGAGAAATAGGGCGAGGGTCTCCTTCTTAGTGGCAGATATCGAGTGGGGGTTGTGGTGTATAAGAGCCACTCAAGCCCAGGGAAGAGCGTTGACATTGGCTCTTTTGGTCACATTTATTCTTGTGGCAAGTCCGCTCATCATATCATAGGCATTACATTAGCCACAAAGAACACCAGAAGAAGTCCCCACTGCTAGTACTGAGGACGTAGATGGTGAGGGAGGTGGCAGTAAAGACACCTAGGGTGTGGCGGCTAGCAAAGATGGTTGTTGCTACTCACACCAGCTGTATGAAGGAACGTCTCCTTGGCCCATAGCTCAGGCATCACTTTGGCAAGCGATGGGCACAGGCGATGAGTCAGGAACTGCACCAGAATAGTCTCAAAATCAGGATGAAGCTAAGAGAGAAACTCATGAAGACAAAGAGTCTCTCGAGCTCTAGTGGGGCTCACAACACCAACAAGTACTAGCACTACAGAATTCAGGACCCAAACCATCCAGACAATGCTAGTCAATAGACATAAATGGTGGAAGTCCTCAACAGTGGAGTCAAGCTAGCAAAGCACCTGAGCCTCCTCGATGATAGCAAGGTACATCACCTCATTACCAATCTTGTAACTAGAATAGAGGTGAACCCACATTAGGTGTGTAGTAGCAAGGCCATGGAGGGACATCAAGAGATTGACCTCAATGCTCGCAAGCAAGATGGCCTTGGTAAAGGTCTTCACTCGTAGCCAAGTCTAGTAGACACTGAGATTAGGTCGGTAGCCCTCCATGTCTACCTCAAACACCTCAAGCAAAGCACTCTTAGTGTCATCAGCAACATTTGACATATATGCGAGCGACATGGGAAGATCAGGATGTAGTGGACATGTCCGCTCACTAGTGAAATAACCCCAAAACTGCTAACTACCCATATGAACCTCCATGTGGAAGATAAATCCACCCCTAGTTGGGGCCATTAAAGATGACTGAACAATGAGGAACAGGAACAAACACCAAAATGAGCGGAGAATGCCATGAAGTCTACTAACTCTACTCATCGTGCCTCCCCCCCCCCTCTCTCTCTCTTTTTAAGGACACACAGGAGGTATAGAACAGAATAGTGGACAGGCAGGGGCACCGCGATGAAGGGACCTGCGGGTGGCAAAGACAGCAACCTATGGGTAGGGCCTGCAGATAGTAGCAACAAGCGCTCGCATAGCCGGCAGAGGGCGTCGCCACAATCAGGTGCTCACACAGCCAGCGGAGGGGATGCGACCACGGGCAGGGCTTGCAGGGTGGCGACCTTATGTGGGACCTTCGGGAGGTGAAGGCGGTAGCTACATGTAGGACCCGTGCATGAGGTGGAGGTAGGAAATGGAGCTTGAGGGTAGTGGGAAAAATGAAGTTGCTCACCAGTGGAAGCTCGCTGGTGACTTCATGTGGTGGTGGTGGCAGCAGCTAGGTGAGGATAGATCAGATCTGACCTTATAGCTCCGTTACCTTGGTAGGCATATAGAAACTTATTTTTTTAGAAAGGACGGCAAAAGCTTTGCTGTGGATTTTATTAGACGATAGCATACAGAAACTTGGTCTATTCCAATATCCAAAGGGCAAGATATGGAGATATACAAAGTGCAGATAACACCCTACATTAATGGCTAAATAAATACAGTACATACATCTAACAAGTTAGACTTACTTGTCATATAGGAGTGCTTTACATTACCTGAATTCATTGGTATGCTCGATTTTGTAACTTGCGTCAGTTCCAGAAGGCAAGCTGGTCGGCTCATATAGAAGCGAGCTGTCATCCGGCAGTTTGATATTCCACTTCCTGACAGCTGCAACAACCACTTGAAGTATGCTCGTCGTAGGACTTACTCCCATTTTCCGAAACCTATATACCCTCGAGCCAGCTAAAAACGCCGGGAAACAGATGAGCATGAGCACTGTTGGTATCACGTAGCTGACTGCCCACCCAACATTGTCCTGCAGCCAAACAATCACAGTTCCAGACAGCAGGGAGCTGGTACTGATCAAGAAGAAGTACCAGCTGAAGAAGGAGCCCTTGGTCACCAGCTCTGCATGGTCATTGGTGTCAAATTGGTCTGCCCCAAAGGCTGACGTGCATGGTTTGACACCACCGCTGGCAATGGCAGCGAGGTAGATTCCAAGGTAAACCACTGCTCGATGAACGCTGCCGGCATGGTCAGAAGATGTTGAGAATATAGGAAGGGATGCAGAGGCTATGAGAACGACCATTGCCTGTGATGAAAATGGAAGGGTATATATATTCAGATTCAGAGTTGTGGACACGCAACGGACAGTGCAAACAAAATTGGTTGAAATGCTTCCTTTGAACTTACAACCACATAAAGTGGGAAGAAAACGACAATCGTCCAGTATCTCCCCCAGTAAGTGTCTGCAATGAAACCCCCAAAAAGTGGCGTGAAGAAGCAAGCTCCGACCCAGGCGGACAAATTCCTGGCTGCAGTGACTTTGCTTTCGTGGAGAACAGTGGTGAGATAGGTCACCAAATTCTTTGAGATTGTGAAGAAAGCCATGCACTCGCAGAACTCAACACCTAAGTCCATGATGTTCAAGCAGTTAATAACTAGCTGTTATGCAGAATTATAAAGAAAGGAATAGCAGGATCGTGAGCTGCTCTTTAGTTAGTAGTCCTTGCGTTCCAAATTATAAGTCGTTTCGACTTTTCTATGAACATAGCTTTTGCTATGTATCTAGGTGCATAACAAAAGCAATATGTTCCTAAATAAAAAGCCAAAACAACTTATAATTTAGAATGGAGGGAGTACCTGGATGAGGAAGCATGCCCTCCATTTCCCTGTGCTGTGCTTGAGAGCCGTCTGCTTGTTGATATCAACTGATCCATCTCTTGTATATTCTGAAGTTGCACCCTGCATGACATGACAGCACCAAGCAACTGAGTTTTTCAGAATTCAGTTCTGAATCAACAAATCCTGTGATTATCTACTGTGATAAATAACTCTCTGAGGCTATACTATAATGGAAACATGGCCCTGTTCTGCTGCACTACTCAGCAGTATTTTTCAGCGAACAAACAGTGTTTTCCTCTCACAACATTTCAGCATAAGCATCAGCATAAACCAAATTTCAGTGAAACTCTACTACCTAGTCAAAAGGAAAGAGAGAGAGAGAGAGAGTTACCTGAGAAGAAGGATGGACATGAAGGAGGGGTCTGTCCTCATCTCCTGCTTCCATGGCAGTAGAGCTCTTTCGAAGCAAAGCTTTCATTGAGGGAACGGAGTCTGCAGGCTCTGCAGCAAAGCCTTCACTGCGCGGCAGAGTACTTTTTGAAGCAGCTGATAAAAAGGTGCTTGGCTGCTCTTTTGATCAGGACGGGCACGTTTGTAGGACATTGTGTTCCCTTTGGAAAAGAAGGCAGTGATGTGATGGTAATTAGAGGGACGCTAAGTACCAGTTATTCCAAGACAAGGGGAGGGGTTATCTTATCTGTACAGTGCCGGGGATCCTCCAGAATATTGGAGATTTTGCTGCCGCAACTGGCAGCGTTTTTTTAGCTCTGATTAACTATTATAAAGGGAAGCACAACGACCACGATGACCCACTAGTAGGGCAAAGAGCGCTGTGGGTGACTGATTAGCCAGGCCAGAATGGAAGACGAAACATCGCTGCAATAAAACTGATATATCATGGTAGCCAACAAAATACGCAAAGTGCTACTGCCAGGACCGGTCCATACCTTTAAGAAAACGATGGCTTGGCATTTTTTATTTTGCTCCATTCTGTTCCTACTACACAAGCATAAACGTGGGTTTTCAATTAATTCTGATTCCCACCTCACATCCTAGAGTGAGTGAGTGACGCAATTTCGCTGGTCATTAGAGCAATCCTAACCTGAAACTATACATAGATTCTATTGCTTTAAATACTACTATACCAACTTACCAAAAAAAAAATATTCACATCTTCTGCTTCCATGGCAATAGAGCTCTTTTCAAGGAAAGCTATCATTGAGAAAATGGCTCTGCAGCGCGGCAGAGTACTTTTGAAGCAGCTGATAAAGAGGTGCTTGGCTGCTCTTATGACCAGGCCGGGTATCTTGGTAGGACGCTGTGCCCCCTTTGAAAAAAAGCATTATTGTGATGTGATTAGAGGGACGCTAAGTACAGTGGCTGCTGTCGAGAAGCCGTAAATTCGTCCTCAACCTTATGACTGCTGTATCGTTCTAAATCAGTACGGTTGATTACCACATGGGTTTTAACGCCGTATGAGTATGACAGACGAAACGTCGCTCTCCACTGAAGCTGATATCTTGGTACCCAACAAAATTGGCAAAGTAGTGCTGTCGGGATCCGTCCGTATCATAAAGAAAACGATGCCTTTGACATTTTCGATTTTGCTTTATTCTATTCCCCTACGCAAGCACACGCATGGGGTTTCAAACCTTCAATTAATTCCGCTTCCCACCTTCTCTCATCCACATCCAGTAATTGCTTTTCTTTAGACAAAACTTTCCTGGAAATGTTTAACCTTTTGATATGGACATATTTTTTGAGAAATTTTATGGTGCTTGAAAATAATGAGCCATTCATTCATCTAGATCCAATGGTTCATAAATTAGAGGAACCTCATGGGAGGAACTTAAGTTGTAGGCCCAAACTTAAATTTGGTTGGACAAGAACTAGGTCTGAATTTAAATAGCCCAAAGTCTAATAAGCGACCGGTCATGCCAGCATCGGAGACGGGGACCTCGCCGGCATTTGGGTTCTATCATCTCCCACTCCCATGCTCTCCCTCTCTTCTCCATCTCCTGTGGTCTTAGAAGGAGGATTTTGGGGTGGCGGCCGCAACACTGCAGTGGCAGCGGGAGAGACAGCAGCGGGTGGGGCGCCGCCCGCCGGGGCGGTGGAAGATGGTGCTTGGTGCTCAAATAACTCAACAGGAGACTCTATAGGTGTCGTATATCTCAGAAGATATCTAGTATTATTATGCATATCTTTCATAGGAAATATGTTCTTAAAAAATAGCATCACGAGATTCTATAATTGTATCAACATCCATATTAGGAACTTCACATTTTAATACTAGAAACCTATTGGCAATGCTCTCGTGAGCATATCCTAGAAGACAGTCCACAATCTTCGGTCCAAACTTGTGCTTCTTAGAAATTGGTATATTGACTTTCGTCAAACATCCCTACGTATGCAAGTATGAAAGTGATAGTTTCCTCCCAACCCAATCCTCGTATGGGGTTGTTTCTTTATTTTTGTTTGGAATTTTATTCTGGCGTGACTCGCAGTCCATAAACCCTCTCCCTACCATGCCTTACATAAACCAGCAGTGTCTAACATGGCATTCACCAAGTTAGTCAGTGTGCGGTTTTTCCTCTCGGCAATCCTGTTTGATTCGGGCGAATAGGGAGGCTTCCTCTCATGAATAATACCATGTTCCTCATAGAATTCATCAAACAATCTGAGAAAATATTCACCACCATGATCTGACCTTAGATGCTGAATCTTTCTCTCTAGTTGGTTCTCAACTTCAGCCTTATAGATTTTAATGTAGTCTAGTGTTTCATCTTTAGATTTAAACAAGTAAACATAGCAAAACTAGTTGCATCATCAATTAAAGTCATGAAGTATCTCTTTCCACCTTTTGTCAACACAGCATTCATGTTTCATAGATCAGAATGTATGAGTTCTAGAGGTGCCAATTTTCTCTGCTCCGTTGCCTTGTGAGGCTTTGATTGCACACAACTACGGCACTTAGAACCTTTGGCAATAGGGAAATATGGAATTAAACTCATGCCAGACAATCGTGACATCAAACCAAAGTTCGCATGACATAAAACGAGAATGCCAAACACTCGCACTATCATTAGTTGTGCCACAAATACGATTCACTGACTTATTACAAAAATCTGCCAAAGAAAAGCCAAATAAGCCTCCGCACTCATAGCCTTTACCAATAAATTGTTCTTGCTTTGATACTACTACTTTATTGAACTGTAACACTACCTCAAACTCATCTCTCAAAAGAAGGGAGACGCTAACAAGGTTCTTGCGTATAGTAGGGACATGCTGCACGTTCTTTAGCTGCACTATCTTCTTCGAAGTTAACTTCAGATCTACTGTGGGTGAACACCACAAATAGAAGCATGTGACCCATTCCCCATCAAGACAGAGGAACCTTGGAGCCCCTAGTAAGAAGAAACCATATAGATGTCATCACACACTTGAATATTAACACTTGTATCAATCCACCAACTTGGGGACTAAAACACTGAAAGTACAATAGGAAAATTACCATACCCCCTCAACAGCCTTGCTAGGGGCTGTTCGGCTGGACTGAAAAACAAGCCAAAATACTATTCCGGCTGATTGTTGTGAGAGAAAATACTGTTATGTCTGAAAACACTGTTCAGCAACCAAGCCCAGCCCTAGCCCCAGCCAGCCAGCCAGCCGAACGCCCCCCCTAGTAGTTATAAAGTTGGCATTCTTATTTTACCCTTTGAGGTCTGCTCGGTCTCGACACTCCTTGAAAAAGTGACAAAGCTCTCCGCAAGTGAAGCTAAGCAAACTCTGCTTTATTATTCTTCTTCTTGAAGGTAGTTGTTGATTTGGCATTGAAAGGCTTATTCTTTCTTTTGTTCTAAATCAGATGTATGCATCAAAGTTGTATGAAGGACTAAATCAACTCTACGAAGGACGAAACGTCACTCCACTGAAGCTGATATCATGGTACCCATCAACATCGGCAAAGTACTACTTTCAGGATCGTTCCATATCATTAAGAAAACGATGGCTTTGACATTTTCTATTTTGCTTGATTCTGTTCCTCCTACGCAAGCACACGCATGGGGTTTCAAGCTTTCAATTAATTCCCCTTCCCACCTTCTCACCCACATCCAGTAATTGCTTTTCTTTAGACAAAACTTTCCTGGAAATGTTTGACCTTTTTATATTGACACCTGTGAGAATTCTAGACACTAAGTCTCTGTATTAATGAGGATGAAATGGCATATCTAAATTTCTCAGATTTTTACATGCATGGTGCCCGCTTATGGAATTACTTAAGGTCTTATTCCCCCCCCCCCCCACATCCCCACCCACCACCCACCACCACCACACACACACAGAAAAAAAAAGAATTACTTATCCGGCCTGTATAACCACATGTTAATATACACGGCCAAAGATTATAAGAGCCTTTAGACTTTTAGCCTCAAAACTAAAATTCACAAAAAATAGAAAACCAATAAGACTAAAAGAGCTATAAAGAGTAAACTTCCAACTCTTATGCCCTCGTTTCAAACTTGCTTTGATCTTCTGTGGTAGCAATCCTTCACATCCAAGTTTATTAGAAACTCTTGATGTCAAGGCTCAAAATTTGATTGTGTGCCATCAAAGTGGCAGCCGCACGTGGAACAATGCCTTCAGGAAAGAACACAATATAGGCACGCTGCCGCTGCCCATCCAACATGTATAGGGAGTTCACCCGCAAGATCCACAGCGAGAGAAGAGGGGGCGCATCGATAGATGCCTCCATGGAGGAATACCACTCGTAGACATCGCCGTCGTCAGCCTAACAGCAAGGCAAATGCTTTTGCCTAGCACCCAACTCAGTTCCAATGACAGCACGCCAACGACCAGCACGATCCACCCTTAATGGCCGTACATCGACCACAGCCACCACCGCACGCTCACGATGCCATGAGGAACACACATCCATCTACATCATGAGTAAATCTAAGCACCCAAACAGCCTCTGCTACTACTAACACCCTATGGCCTACACCATCGCCAACGCCACCATACTAGGGGACACAAGATCTACATCTGGGGCTGCCAGATCCACGCCCAGAGTGCGGATCCAGACCCCAAGCCACCGAGCTCTGTGGCCCTAGCTAGCGCCCTGACCAGTTTAGCAGTCCTGCCCTAGCTCAGGCGCCACCACCGTCGCAGCTAGCGGGGCCATGCCCCGCCGCCGTATCCGGGCAGCCTCGAGCTGAACTTCATATGCCCCGTTTGTATTTGTACAACACATGCAGTATTACTACCTCCATGCAGGCAATTTTACATCAATAAGATTACACAGATATTGCTTCCACAAAATAAAAAAAATATCCTCCAGATACTCGCTATCTAGGAATAAAAATTGGAACAACGCTTCATATAACATGTAAAATTACTTGGAAAAACGAACAGTTTAGTGATAGCAAAATGACAGATAGAATT